CATTTCAACAGGCTATGAAAGATCCTAATTGGAAACGCGCCACATATGAGGAGTTGAGAGCCTTAAAGGAAAATAACACGTGCGATATTACCACACTTCCTAAGGGCAAGAAAGCAGTGGGTTGCAAGTGGATCTTCACCCCTAAATTCAATCCTGATGGAAGTATCAACAAGTACAAAGGAAGATTAGTTGCCAAAGGGTACACCCAAATTTATGGGATTGATTATGAAGAAACGTTTGCTCCTATGGCAAAGTTCAACACCATCCAGGTACTCGTGTCCCTAGTTGCTAACCTTGACTGGTCCCTACATCAACTAGATGTGAAGAATGCTTTCCTAAATGGAGATTTGGAGGAGGAAGTATACATGGAAATCCCAGATGGAGTAATAGCTCCACCCAACTCAGTTTGCAAACTGAAGAAATCACTATATGGCCTGAAACAGTCTCCAAGAGCGTGGTTCGACAGGTTTGCCAAGGCGATCAAAAGGTTTGGCTACATCCAAGGACAAGCTGATCACACTCTCTTCGTTAAACACAGTAATGGAAAGGTAACGATCCCAATTGTGTATGTTGATGATATAGTCATAACTGGCAGTGATGAGGTTTCTATCTCCCAACTCAAGAAAGCCGTAGCTAGGGAATTCCAAGTGAAGGACCTAGGACAAATGAAGTACTTTCTTGGAATGGAGGTTGCTAGATCCAAAAAGGGTATAAGTGTGTCTCAACGAAAGTACACACTTGATTTGCTCTATGAAACAAGAATACTTAGGGCTAAACCTAGTGAGACGCCTATGGAAGAGTCATGTAATCAGGAAGTGAAACCAGACAGGGTACCAGTTAACTCAAAAAGGTACAAAAGACTTGTAGGTAAACTGATCTACTTGACTCATACAAGGCCTGACATTAGCTATGCAGTTGGAGTGGTAAGCCAATTTATGTATCAACCCCAGGAAGAACATATGAAAGCAGTATATAGAATCCTGACCTACCTCAAACTCAATCCTGGAAGAGGAATATTCTTTAAAAAGGGGAGTACAAGGAACATAGAGGTCTACACTGATGCAGATCATGGGAGAGCTGTGGATAACAGAAGATCTGTCACAAGATACAGCACTTATGTTTGGGGAAACCTAGTCACTTGGCAAAGCAAGAAACAGACAATAGTCTCAAGGAGTAGTGCTGAAGCTGAGCTAAGAGCTGTAGCCCTGGGGGTATGTGAAGGAATGTGGGTGATCAGACTTCTGAAGGAATTGAGAATTTCCTATGAAGGACCTATGAACCTCTGGTGTGACAACCAAGCCAGCATTGAAATGACCAAGAATCCTGTGTATCATGACCGAACAAAGCATGTTGACATTGATCGGCACTTCATCAAAGAAAAGGTTGAAGATGGCACAATTAACCTGAGCTATGTGCGCTCAACTGATCAGATTGCTGACGTCATGACCAACCCTTTAGCTAGAGTCAAGTTTGAAGGGCTTCGAAGCAAGCTGGGAATGGTTGACATCTACTCTCCAGCTTGAGGGGGAGTGTTAGAAAGCCCCTGATTTTCTCTCTTGATTCTCTCTATTAATTACCCATGATAGTAGCTGGAAAATATACTTCCTGATTTCTTGTGATATTGCAATATTTGTAATTTATGACTGATTGATTGTAACCGGATTGATTTCTCTCATCTGGACTCTATAAATTGTAACCCAATCATATGGAATAATATGAGAGCAAGAAATATTCAGCAAACTAAAGCAATGGCTAACAACTTTTGTAATGTTATTAAGAACTTCAACATACCAGTTAACAAGTTTTTCAAAAAATTCAAAAAGTAGCATTTTTACAACTTCAGTAATGCCGTTAACAAGTTTTTTTAACTCTATTAACAACTTCGGTATAACATTTAACAACCGGTTTTCTTAAAAATTCAAAAAAATGGCATTTTTATAACTTTAATAACTACTTTTTTGAAAAAAAAATTTACAACTTCAATATAACTGTTAACAATTTTTGTAACGCTATTAACAACTTCGGTATAGCAGCATCAAGTTTTTCAGAAAATTCAACAATTGGTTGCTGGAGTTTTGGCAGTTGCAAATAATTTTTTTAAAAATTTTTATAATTTCAGTATAACAGTTAACAACTTTTGTAACGCTATTAACAACAGGTATTTTGAGAAATTCAAAAAGTAGCATTTTTACAACTTCAATAATTCCATTAACAAGTTTCGTAACTTTGTTAACAACTTTGGTATAACATTTATCAACAGGTTTTCTTAAAAATTAAAAAAAATGGCATTTTTACAACTTTAGCAACTATTTTTTAAAAAAAAATTTTTACAACTCCAGTATAATAGCTAACAACTTTTGTAATGTTATTAACAACTTCAATATAGCAGTTAACAACAAGTTTTCCAAAAAATTCAAAAAGTAGCATTGTAAAACTTCAGTAATATCATTAATAAGTTCTGTGATTCTATCAACAACTTTGGTATAGCATTTAATAATAAGTTTTCTTAAAAATTAAAAAAAATGGCATTTTTATAACTTTAACAACTATTTTTTTTTGAAAAATTTTACAATTTCAGTATAACGGTTAACAACTTCGGTGACACTATTAACAACTTCGGTATAGCAGTTAATAACAGGTTTTTTAAAAAATTCAAAAAGTAGCATTTTTACAATTTCAGTAATGCCCTTAACAAACTCAAAAACCTGTTATTAACCATTATATTGAAAGTTGCTAATAGCGTTACAAAAGTTGTTAACCGTTATACTGAAGTTGTAAAAATTTTCAAAAAAAAATGTTTCTGGCCATCAGAACTCCAACAACCAATTTTTGAATTTCCCAAAAAACCTATTGTTAACTGCTATAATAAAGTTGTTAATAGCGTTACAAAAATTGTTAACCATTATACTGAAGTTGTAAAAGTTTTCAAAAACATTTTCACCAAAAAAAAAGTTTTCAAAAACATTGTTTCCAACTGCCGGAGCTCTAGCGACCAATTGTTGAATTTCCCAAAAAACTTGTTAACTGCTATAGTGAAATTGTTAATAGCGTTATAAAAGTTGTTAACCGTTATATTGAATTTGTAAAAAAATTTCAAAAAAATTATTTTCAATTGTCAGAGCTCCGGCGACCAATTGTTGTCCGGAAAACCTGTTATTAAATGCTATACTGAAATTGTTAATGGTGTTACAAAAGTTATTATCCGTTATACTGAAATTGTAAAAATTTTCAAAAAAATTATTTTCGACCGCTGGAGCTCCGATGACTAATTGTCGGTAGGTCGCTGGAGCTCCAATGATTGCTGCCACCACTGCTGCCAGAGCTCCAGCGACCTACTAGCCAGTAGGGGCTTTGGTTTCTCAAAAACAATAAATAAAATAAAAGGTAATATGATCATTTCAGCAAATTTAATACCAAATTAGTCACTTGTAACTAAATTGGAATTTCTCAAATTCAATAGATGTTTTTGGCATTATGAGGTTCATTTGTCTTTTTTTTGTCATTTTCCCCTAAATAAATGGGTTAATGATAAAAAAATATTCATGAAAATGTACCAAAAGTTCACTCAATATCATAAAAAAAAAAATTGGGTTTAAATATACCAATCTAAGCTTAAAAAGGTCTCAATAATGCCAGCGCCCTTAAAATTAACTAATGTTTGCTTTCTTGATTACACCCACGGTTTTTTAATAAAAGTACCAAAATACACTCAATTAAAACAAAAAAATTTAAGAGTAAAAAATACACAAGAACTTCTACAAAAAATTTCACCAAACATCATATAATTTTCAATAAGAGTATCAAAATACCCTCAATCTCAAAGAGCTACTGTATCAAAGTGGGTGAGAGATTATCAATTAAAATAAATTTTTATATCCCCAAACGTTATAATTAAAAAAAGATTATTAATGGTTCTTAATAAATCTTTTTCTTAATCAGCCAATATCTTTTCCTTTTTTTTTTAATAATAATAGCCAGCCAATTGTTATAGTTATTATATTAATTGTTATGGCTAAAAATATTTTAATAACATAAATATTATACATAATAATTAAATATTTTTATAACTTATCATGTTTTATATTTTAGCATCACTATTACTTATTCAGAACTGTTTTAATTTTAGAAAATTGTTAAATAAAGTCAACAAAATAAATATTTATAATTTAATCCTTTAATTAGTATTTATTTGATTTTTTTAGATTTTTTATTCAATATTTAAAAAATTATATGAGGATACTTTAAAGTTTGATTGAAATAAAGAATCTGAATCAATCTTGTAAGAAAGCGGATTTTCTTTTTTTTTTTGAAAGAAAGGTGAACCGAGAAGATCATCAAAAGGTTGGAGAGATGTGGGTTCTTTTTTTTTTTTTTCTAATTAGTTGGGAGTATTTTAGTACTTTCATTAAAAATATGTAAATCCCATTGCTAAAAGTGGCTTTAAATTCTCTCAAAAAATTAAACATATACATAAAAAAAAAAATTTTAAGTTGATTGTTAAATTTGATAATAGAGACTAGAAGATAAATGTTCAACCCCATATGTTGTTGATACAAACAATTCTTTTTCAAGAGATACCATACTATGATTTTGTTGTTTGCCATTTGAATAAATTCATGAAAAATGCTACTATTTATTGGCTATTTCCAAAATAAGAATACTATGGTAACACCAAAGTAGTCAATATCAATAATAAAGTAAATATCGTAAGTGAGCAAACATGTTTTTTTTTCGAATTTCTAAAAAGAAAGTAAATAGCGCAACCAAAGTAGTAATTAACGATATAAATGTGATATCTTTTCATGACATTTTAAAATTCTCCAAAAACTTGGGTTTACTGAAATTCAGATCCCTGATTTGGGATTTTGATATTTCAATGGTATTTTTATGAGATTCTCCCAATTCACACCAAGTTTTCATAAGCAGACCAAACATACCTTATAAAACCAATTCCCCTTTTACTTCGACTACCATTTCTACTTTCACTTCTACCAAGAGTATGTGGACAAAAATTCCCATAATCACATATTCAGAGGTCTCCTTACAATATGTCCAGCTCAAAATAGTGACTCCGATCCACAGCCATTGGCTTTGCCATAAAAAATTTACAAGAAAAGCCGCAGGTCTTTATTAAACAGTTTCCCTGCTGCAGATCATTTTCATGTGCCAAAGACCAAAAAGCATAATATAGAAACTTTTGCCTGTCATAGCATCGAGGATAGATTCTACTTTCTCCCTACATAAGCACCCAACTTAGACAGATCTGGGATCCAAAATGACAGTTCAGATGATCCAGTTGCAAACATAAGACTTCCAGGTGCCCATTTTATAACGGGAGGTCCAATGTCAGAAGTTGCACTCATCCAACTTGCAACCTAGACAGTTTAATATGAACATTGACATCAGAAAAGCACATCACATGTAATACAAATTCAAACTCCACAAAGAGGAAAGAATTCAAGAATTGCGCGCGCACAGGTTCAGTTGAAAGGCAAAAGCACAAGTTTCTTCAGAAAAGCTTGAAATTATTTCCAATATTATCCTCCAATATATGGTAATTTATAAATTTATACAATTTATTGAAATTGAGAAATTTCTCAGGCTTTGCTTGGAGCATTTACTTTCAATAGAACAAGTAAAAGACAAAAAGAATGGGAAAAAAAAACGCAAAAGAAAAGAAAAAAGCGAGAAGAGAAGGGGAGGCAGAGAGAAGACTCATTAATTCTGGCAGTCAACTTGTGAGCCCCATCAATAGAAGTATTTATGGAAAATATAATTTTTCATCACTGGATGGTATTTTAGTTTGAAAAAAAAAATTAAAATTACAACTTAGCACAACTTAGTTCCAAAATAAATTTTTGCATATTTTGAAAATAAAGAGGATGTTACATTATTTCAACAAAATTTGTCAGAACTCAATAATTTACTCAACATTTATTGTGTTATAAGAGAAACAAGTAGTAAAAGAATATGTAAACCAAGAAGAAATCATTTATGAAATGCAGAGAAAAGGAGGAAGGCATCCTATCATACTTCTTTCCCACTTCGAACATTCCATCCATAGACACTTCCGTCCCCTGAACCTGTCAAAAAGATTTTAGGCCTTGGAAAGTATATCTTTGGTATCAGATCAAAACATCTAATCAACAAACAAACAAAAGGCACGCATGCTGGATTAAGGTCAAGAAGGAAGATGCCATGGCATTAAAAAAAATGAATGCCAAGACTTTCTTCCAAGACTTATTAAAAATAAGAAATGAAAGGAGGGGGAGGACTTAAATCAAGATTATTTTTTAAAAAAAAAAAAAAAAAACCTTTGGCAAAGTCATGATTCAATAGGTCAAGGAACAATAGAAAAGTTCTAGGTGATCCATATAAAATTGTCTTGCCTGATATTACAAACATTCCCTCAGGACTGAAGGAAGCTTCTAATGTGGAATCACATGAAACTGGGGTGACATTATATGTGGATAACTGCACACACCAAGCATAACAGAGAATTAATACAGAGTGTTTCAAAGTAGTATAAACCAACGGACAAGAGTAAAGGTAGGATTATTTTAAAGTAGGAAAGATACGAACAAGTGATCCACGGAATGAATCAAGTACGTGAATATGTCCATTTGTGGTAGTTAAGAGCATAAGTCTTCCATCATTACTAAACTTCACAACATTGGCATCAGAAATATCTGCCCCAACAGAAAATATCTCAAAGGGTCCCTGCCAGAGTGAATTTCATCAGATTAGCTATCAGGGCACAATCTCAAAATGAAAATCAAAGGGTTAACCAAATCTTCAACATATTCTAACATAACATTCACTAACCTTTTCATACTTGCGGGCATCAAACATTCTTATAAACCCTCCAAATGCAATTGCAAATACCAGCCCTTGATCATCATATGATATAGCAGGCCTTCCTTGCACTCGCAAAAGTCCCTGTGTTGTTTTCAAAGTGAGTAAGAAGCCCTAGGAAATTTATACTATGTATCAGATACCAAAGGAGGAAAATAAACTACAGACAAAATCAGAAGTTGAAAATAAACAAGCCTACAATGAAAATGGCTCTACCTGGCACTTTTCAGCCCTTTGATCCCACAGCAAAACAGTTCGGTCAAGAGAACCAGAAATAAAGCAATCCTTACGAGAGCACAAGCTAAGGGAGACAACCCTGTAAAAAGGCCAATATCCAATTATAGGCAAATGGATTGTATAATAGTGAAGAAAATTTTAGACTGGGAAATGTACCCGTTAGTGCAAGGTTAGGGGGGGGGGGGAAGCACCTGTCATGGTGACCTTTGAAATATCGCAAGTACTTGTTATCATGCAATGATAGAAGCCGCAAAGATTCTGGATTAATTGATCATATAAGCAAAAAAGTATAAGAATATCAATTGAAGCAAATACCGCCAGGCAGGGGCGGACTTACCATCCCACCCATTTTTTGAAGAGTAGATGACTGTTGTAGGATGAGATGTAAAGCAAACCAGATCAACCCCATATTTCTTGCTATTAATTGTCTTCAAACATCTGGTAACTTAAAGCATCCCAAGTTAATGTAATCAACCTAAAAAAGAAAAAGAAGGAAGAAGAACAAGAACAAGAAAGCATCACAAGAGTTCATCTTTTGTAACTTAAAAAAGAAAAAGAAGGAAGAAAGAATAACAAGAACAAGAACAAGACAGCACCAAAAGAGTTCATCTTTTGTAATGTAAATATAAGAGAGATATCCATAACAGCAACTTTCTACGCCTTCCGTAGAAGCATTCTCTGAGAATGTATAATGTCCTCATTTTCTTTGTTTTGCTATCTTACTCAACATGCCTACTGAGCCACTTAGTTGTAGCCTCGCAAGTGATGGCACCATTTGCTTTGTTGTAGGTTTTCATGATTTACAACCACAACTTCATTTATATTACCCTTAATACATATTGCAACAACAAAGAAATCACACTGTCATACTCAAAGTCAATGTCATATTACAAATGTTAAGGCCCCAAAAGTGCTTCAAGAATTAGCTATTTCAAGTTCTTAGATAATCATAAGTAGAATTTTATTAAAAGATTATGAGACATCAATTGTTTCACTCAAATACATTTGTAATGCCAAGTTTTCACATATCTAAAGGCAGCAAAACTGGGGCTTGCGGCTTACGTTCCACCAGTGATATCATAAAGGCGAATGGATTCATCATCACTAGCAGTCACTAAATGGTTTGATGCCCGGTGAAAATCCATTGAACTGATTCGACCATTCTGTTGAAACATTGAAAAAGGCCTCAATGAGTAAAGTATGGCACAATGCGCAGTAAGATGCTAAGATTGCAAAGCCATTCCCCAAGCTGTAGAATTTAAGACATCAGAAAGAAGCTCTATTAATAGGCATAGCATTTGTTCTCTGCAGAACTAGTGATTGACGACTAATTCTAGGCCATGCAGACAGAATTCCTTTGATCCATAACTGAATTTTATGTTTGGAATTCTGGCGTTGCTTCAAACAGTTGGAAACAAAAACAACCCAATAATTTAAAAATTTTACAAGTCATGAAAAATTGTAATGATAGAAGAACTCACATAGTCTTTAAAGGCCATTCCTACTTCCATACTTTGAAGAATTTCTTCACTCAGCTCCAAGGATACCTTTTCTTCTCGCTCTGGTTGTGTCCCTGCAATAATTTCAAATTAAGAAAACTGGAACAAAACCAAATAGATACAGCAAAAACCTATCGGCAACAGATCCAGCAAAAAGTTTTCCCCTACCACCCATCATAGCATCAGCTGCGTCTTGGATCTAACAAAAGTTCAGGACGATCTCTGCAGTAACAACTTTACAGGCTCAGTCAGAAAAAGCTCAACCAAACCACCATCCCCAATTGCCAGTGCCAGAAATATCAGCTCAAGCAGAAATGGTAATAAGCGGATATCTGAATGTAACTTTTGCACCATCCAAATCTGAAGTAAACATGCAGTACTCAAAGTTCAAACCATGAGAGGAAAAATCAACGCACAAAAGCCAAGGAGCGATTTTGGTAGGGAGAAATCAAGATTTGATGCTATAGCAGAATTAGAGATGAGGGACAAAAGACGGAAGAGAGCTTACCACAAATCCTTCGATTGCCGCCACTGAACACAATGATACAACGTACAAGCAGAGAAGCAAAATGAGAGACAACAGACGAGGCTGAAGGCCTGTGGCGAACCAAGCTCAGACGGAGGACGGGACAACCGGAGGAGGAGTTCTCGCAACTACGAAGAAAACCAAAACGGAAATTTACACATGGCGGAGGAGGAAGAATTTAGTTAATGGGCCTGAGGTTCGGTTGAAACTGGGCCGAAATCATCTGAAGCGGGCCCAATTCTGTACAATGCAATACTGGGTAGGAAATAGATGAGGCTGTAGAAGAAGCCTGAACCAACTAGTGTTGGTCCAAGTGGAAGGGACTTGGGCCCCTTAAACATCATGTCCTGGGTTCGATCCTTGGGGCGGTGCGTATGGAAAAAATATTATTGGGAGGGGTCCCCGCTACGGCGACAGTACCCCGAGAGATTAGTCTCTTACCGTTCGGGTGGGAGGATACTCTGGGCAACCAAAAAAAAAAAAAAGAAGCCTGAACCTGAATTTGGGTATACGTCTGATTGGTGAGAGGGAAATGGAAGGAAGGAGATGGGAGAAAAAATTTTAATGAGTTCAATTTAATAAAATAAAAAATGAGATTAAAAATTTTTGATTAAATTTTATTGTTTTTTATTTTACATATTCTCTTTATTAAAATTTCAGAATCTCATTTCCCAATTTTTTAAATGAAACTCATTAAAATTTTTCCTCCCCTCCTTTCTAATGATCTCTTATCAAGTATAAGGTTAGGTTTAGGAATGAGTCTTCGAAAGGTTTGAAGCCTTTTTAAAGCCTTTAAATAGGTTTAAAGCTTATGCCTCCAATATTATATATAATCTTTTAAACTTGTATAAAAGCTTACGTCATGTTATAAGTAGACTTTGACTATAAAAAGATTACATATAATTTAATTACATAAAAATTTATTTTAAATTTATAATAAAATAACAAAATTTCAGTCATTATAATATCCTATAAAACTTGATATAATTACAAGTTTACAATAATCCAGATAGAATAACTTGTTTATAACAGTAACAGATACAATTCTAAGAATATATCTTGATCGCGCCAATAATCTTATACGTAGAAATAATTTTTTCTTCATTGGATGACTTCCAAAACGAATCAAGTCATTAATATTGAGGAGCATATTCAAATACACACTGAAAACAGATTTTGGTCAGTAATTGGATTAATTTCCTTATTCCTAAGATTCATTCTCTTTTGCAATAAAAGAATTTAATGAGGAAAATAAAAGAATGCCTGGTGACAACAATTATCCAAGCAAGTAGGAATGATAAAAACTAACTATTTGTTGGTGGAGGAGATGTACTTTCTATAATAAACTAAATGCAACAAATGGCGTGCAAAATTACTCGATTAAGTAATGGGGTAGGAGTTCTTTCAAGAAAGAGTATTTGAGAGAGGAAAAACGTTGGTTCTTGATAAGTACTTGAGGAATCATCCACTTGAGTAGATTTTCTAGAAAAAGAAGTAAACTAAGTATTGTAAAACTTAAAAAGAAGTTTTTTTTACTTGAAAATGTAATTGGATGAAGAGAAATATCTGAACATTAATATATTCGAGAAGGTGTCCGGGTAAGATAATTTTGAAGAGAGAAACTTGCCTTACTCGAGAAGGTAACTAACTATCAACTATCAAGATAAAAGGTCTTACTCAAGAACATGCTTGGGTAAAACATTTTTCAGAACTAAGATGTCTTACCAAAAAGAGAATTTTACTCGAGTATATTATCAGGCAAGGTAATATACCAAAATATTTTTAAGCAAAGTTTTCAATCTTTAAAACCTTAGAAAACAGAAGTATCTTGGCGAAAAAATAGAAGAAAAAAACATTACTTGACAAAGTAACCAAGTAATGTCTTACCTGAGAACTTCCTCAAGTAAAAGATTTTAAGCGAATTTCTTTCCAAAATGAAATGTTACCCGGTTAGTTACTCGAGAGAAACAAATGAACCCTTGAACAAGAAAACAACTTGAGTATAGGAGCAAACCAAAAAGAAATTGAAAACAACTTTGAAAACCCTTGTAATCATCAGGACACAAATTCTAACCAGCATGAGTAATTGTAACATCCAAAAATTTAATATGAGATTTAGAGTTAATTAAGCTTTGATTAGCAAGGGAAAAAAAAAATGAGTAGTTGAAATTGAAAGTTTGAGACTTAGATTAAGTGTTTAATCAGTTTAAATTTCTTTTATATGGATTTTTGAAGATTTTTTAGGATAGGGTTTATGATTCCTTGAAGTTTTTTATGGTTAATGATAACATGGAGATTAGAAATGAGTTTGGTTTATGCTAATATGAGTTATAATTGATGATTAATCAGTTTGGATTATTGATAGAACTTGAATTGCTCAAATGGTTATCTTAAAGGTTGAAGTCTAAGTGTGAAATTAGGATTTATGATTAAATTACATAATTTGAGGTTAGCGAATCGTTTAAAGGAGTTATTTGAGCTATTGAGACCTTAAGTTTAATGTTGGATCCATTGATTTGTGGCTATGATGAGATTTGAGTACTTAAAGGGTCATGATCTTTAATTGTTATACATAGCCACTCAAGTAGCTATGTTTTGACTTTGTGGTTTTGTTGTGTAGACCACTTGTCTATTATGGTTTGAATCCCGGGATTCTTGTGGTATATTATGCTTCTTGTTTTAGCGAGAAGTAATCACTTTTCACTTATTGTATGTATTGATGTGTGTTTGTAAGTATTTGTGAAAATATGTATTTATATATGATTTGAGGAATCATATCTTTTTTAAGATTTGTCTTTTGGGAATTGTTTTACTTGAAATGAGGAAATATGATTAGAGATTTGGACTTATATGGATATTCATTTTATAGATGAAGTGTTTTATGGCTATCTTGTGAAACCCTATTGTTTTCATATTACAAATAGTTGGTTTTGGTTGTTAATGTAGTTAGTCATCTTACCACGTGATAAGGCCCCCATTATTACACAATGGTTGTGTAGCATTTTTCTTGTAGTACCAACCACCTAACCATTTGAATTCATTTCAATGGACTACTATGGTAAAAAAAAATGATTAAAATTCTACCATCATAGAAAAGGATTTATTAACAATTAAAAGCATGAACATGATAGATAAATGCTTAAATAAAAAGTTGAAACACTAAAAATTATAATTTTTTTTTAAAATTCAAATAGTAGAAACATATTTATAATAGTAAGGAAGAAATATACCCCAATGATATGCATAACCTGTAGGGAATTGAAAGATGCGCAACGGAAAATAAATTTAAGAATTTCAATCCTTTGTCCGGATCTACCGATCGTGTTTAAGTCAAGTAGTAAGAAGCATTACCTTCGGCGTTCGATTTCTTGGTTGCTCGGTGATTCCGCCGTTCAGGATGCCTCTGCTTGCCTCCTTTGTCGTTCGAAGTCAACAACTCCGGTTGGCTTCCTCTACCGGTATCCACACGAACAGCTCTCCAGTCACAAATGACGTGCTAGAGCCTCTTTGTCTGTCTAGGGTTTTTCAAAGAGTCCGTCCTCCTTTTCTATTTTGGCCGTCTCTTATCTGCAAGTGTTTTCACTCTCTCACTCAAAACCCTAGCTCCTAATATCAAATATATAGGATGCTATAGGTATTATGAATGATATTTAATTTCGAAATTAATCCTAAATTAATTCCAAAATTAATACAATATCAAATATTGCCTAATCAGATAAGAGAACAATTAAATAAATATGGTTTATATTAAATCTGTCTCATAGATTTAATTCACTTATTTATTTAATTCAGAATAAAGATATGACGGAATTACTTTATATAGATTTAATTTATCCTTATAAATTAAATCTAACAATTAATATCTCTTATATTTATATAATATGTATATATATACGAATTTATATATATATACACGTCCACCCTATATTATTCATTGAATCTGGACATATCTTAGATTCAATGAATCTGAACATCATAACTCGTGTTGGGCTATTTTGTGTGCGACCCTGTAGGCCCATATGAAGTTGGCAGTGGGCCATTAACTATAATGACTCACAAGTCGTAAGCAGTCTCTAGCAAGACATCACGACTACCCAAATCATATGAGGATCGTTGAACGATGTAACCTTTCATACAACCATATCACGTCCCTTTTGTCACACGACATTTTGGTCATGGATGAGGCATGGAGAACGTTATCCTCCTATTCATGACCGTTACTTTCTCGATCCCTGAGTAGTCTGAGTATAGAAATGGAACTACCTTTCCATTATAGTATGGACATACATTTCTCAGACTCACTCATCGAGGGGCCCAGTAATATCTCTCTATGAATGTGAGGGACAAATTCCATCTTGACCATTCACATTCCTCCGCATGAAAAACCACTAAGCCTAAATATAGTCTTTATGATCACTCGGTCAAAAGTGACTTTTGACTAGGTCAAAGCTGAGCGTTTCTCATATAGGAATCCATGATGATCTCAGGTCAAAGGGCACAGTGACATAGTTTGTATATGAGAGAAGCTTATGACTTAACCCATGCAGCTCTCTCATAGCGGGTCGGTCCAACACCTTGTATTCTTACATGTGTCTATGACTTTAATTTATATCTCTATATATCTTTAAAGTCATACTAGTCTTATTTCATCTCTACTCCCACATAGATGACCGACCAGGGACATTTAGGATAAATCATGAGTTATCCAAGGATAGTCATCACAGTAAACATGCAAATAATATGATAACGTAATTAATAAATTCATAAATCAACAATGTTCATAACATAATGATTGGCCCCTAGGGCACAATTTCCAACATAACCATGTTAGAAAAACACAAACCCACTCTAACTTGGTTATAAAAGATCACCCATTCATCAAACAAATTTCTCAACCATTAGGCTTTGGGCACCTTGAAACTTATAACATAGTATCTCAACACCAAGCCCATAATTAATATTCTATCAATTATCATTCTAACTAACACCTCTTTCATAAATATTCATCTCAATTTTTTAAGATATGTGGATCCACAAGTTCACATACACAACTTAATAGCCTCTAACCAATTACCAACACACATTCTAGCAATAGTTAATCATAGGCATAACCAATTC